CTACTTTGGTCACAAAAAGTGATTAACCTATCTAACCAAGTAGCAGTCCTGCAGGGACTAATACGGGACTTATCCTTTTGAATTCAGGAAGAAAATTATTCTAAAAGGGAGCAGATTAGGGAACTTAAGGTCCAAAATAGGCTTATTATGGATAAGTTGCTTGATTTGGAAAGCCGTTCCAGAAGGAATAACCTTATATTCAAGGGATTAAAATGGGGTCCAAGAACATCAGATTTTAAGCACGTTGTAGGCACCATTTGTAGTGAAATTTTTGGAATCAACCAAATTTGCATCAATATCCATTAGGAAAGGAAAAAGACACTTGATGTGTCTTTTCTAACATACTGTATGTTTAAAAAAATACCATATGTTATCTATTCTATATATAATTCAGTTTTAAAAATCTTTGTACAACTAAATCTAGAGTTCTACTGGACCGATTTTATTAATTAATGGGTCGTTGGAAAGCTTAGGTCGTGTAGATTTGCAAATAATTATGAAAGTTTGTTTTTATTATGATTTAAGGTGAAAAATTTCAAAAAAACATGTTTTCCATAAGAAATACATTGAAAACAGTGTTTTTCACACTTTTTATTTGGGTGCAACTTTTAGCTGCCTTTTTTAGTGTTTCCAAGAAGTGTATGGTATCAATTTGTAGGAAATTTTATTCTCTTTCTGAATATCACCTTCCACTTTGGTCGATTTCCTCACCATTTAAAAGTTATTTGCAAAAAAGCTAAGCAACCTCCGAATTTATAATAATGAGAAAATATTGAGTTTGGGATATTTTTGTTAAACTTTGTACAACTAAATCTAGACTTCTACCGGACCGATTTTGGTAATTAATGAGTCATTGGAAAGCCTTACTCATGTAGATTTGCAAATAATTATGAAAGTTTGATTTTATTTAATATTTGTAATGGAAAAATAAAAATAACAAAAATACATTAAAAACTGTTTTTTTCAGGTTTTTATTTTCAAGTTTATATTTGTAGTCAGCTTTTGGCTGCCTTTATTAAATAATTTCAAGAAATACACAGAAGGTATTTGTAGGAAATTTTATCTTCTTTCAGAATATCACGTGCATTTTCTACGATTTACTCACCATTTAAAAGTTATTGTCAAATTAGATAAGTGACCTCCAAATTTTTAGTTGTTAAAAATACTGAATTAGGGATATTTTTGTTAAACTTTGTACAACTAAATCTAGACTTCTACTGGACCGATTTTGTTAACTAATGTATCGTTGGAAAGCCTAATTTGTGTGGATTTGCAAATAATTATGAAATTTTGATTTTATTAAATATTTGTGGCGAATAAAGAAAAAAAAGCAAAAATACATTAAAAACTGTTTTTTTTTATAGTTAATATTTTAAAATTTCAATTTATAGTTAACTTTAGGTTGCCTTTTTTGAATATTTTCAAAAAACGCCTAAGAGTACTTTGTAGCAAATTTTATTTTCTTTCAGAATATCACCTTCCACTTTTGTCGATTTCCTCACCGTTTAAGAGTTATTTGCAAAAAAGCTTAGCAACCTCCTAATTTATTGTGGTGAGAAAATATTGAATTGGAGGGATTTTTGTTAAATTTCTACAACTAAATCTACAGTTCTACTTGACCGATTTTATTAATTAATAGGTCAATAAAATCTGTGTAGATTTCCAAATAATTAGTAAAGTTTGAGTTTTTTTTTATTTATGGTAGTAATACGTTTGCCGGTATGAATAATCTAAAAAATTTTATGGTAGTAATAATGGGTTAGCCAGTATGCATCATCTGGTCATATGGAACACATGTATTAAACAATAGTTTAACAGCTGATTGTTTTATTGTTATTTCCTTGATTTTTCTTTGTTTACATTTAGTTGTTTACTATTTGAATTGGTGGTTGAGGTCCGTAAAGTGTGTTTATAAAGTGATGTTTTTAATCTGTACCGTACCATTAATAAGTATTGGTAAGTTAAGTGATGTATGGATTTCATAACCAAAAATTATTACTTTAAACTGTCAATTATAAATTATTCAAATTTAATTTATAATTCACAGTTTAAAATAGTATTTAATATTCGTTATTTTGAACTGTTAATTATAAACTCAATATTTTACATTAGTTGAAAAATGAATAACTTTACTCTTCACTACATGGTTGGTGATGGAAACTGTTTCTTTAGAAGTGTCTCATTTTTATGCCATAAATTTCAATCCAGATACAGTGATATACGATCCACGGTAGTTGATGAAGTCGTCAATAACTGGGACTACTATTGTCCTTTGATCGTAGGGGATAAGACATATAGGCTAGAAGTAAAAAACGCGACGGAATACAGAAATTTGATGACCAAAGATGGGGAATACGCCGGTAATGTCGAAATCGAAGCTGCGGCAAGAGTTTTTGACTGCCAATTCAAAATATATGCTGAGAAATTGGATTATTCTGTAACGGTTGGTGAAGGCACAACGATATATAAACTACGATTCTCAGGAAATGTGGATGCTGGGCATTACGATGTTTTGATAGACAATAGTATGCCTGAGAATCAAGAGGATATAATCTTACCAAAATCAAAACGTGGCCGTGCATCAAAAAATAGAAAAAGTAAAACATGTTCTGGCAGACGTGAATCAACAGCTCATAAAAATAAATTGAAGAAACCAAATAGTATGGATAAAGATTTACTCCAAGAGGTAAAAAAGTGTTTATCAAGCAATCAAAAGGATGGAGACCCAGAAAATGAAAAAGAAATAGAACAAGATAGTCTGACCAACACTTCACTCAGAGATGATGCATCTTCCTCAACCTCCTTAATTTGTGTATTGGGAATGCCAATACACAAATTAAATTTAAAAATTGGAGCTGTAATAATTTTGCTACGAAATCTTAACACAAAACGGGGGTTATGTAATGGCACACGATTAATTGTTAAAGAACTCAAGCCCAATTTAATAATTGCAGAGGTTTTAACTGGATCAGCAGCACGTGAAATTGTATTCATTCCAAGGATTGACTTAGCACAGACGCGGTCACAGATTTACCATTTGTTTTAAAGAGACGGCAATTTCCTTTAAAATTAGCGTTTGCTATTACAATAAACATAGCGCAAGGCCAGACATTGGATAAAGTTGGGATATACCTTCCAGTATTCAGCCATGGACAATTGTATGTTGCAATATCAAGGGTTAAAAGGTTTGAAGACATAAAAATTAAAATTATCCCTGGCAAAGAACAAGGAAGATTATTAAAACAATCGGATGAAGTCTTTACAAAGAATGTTGTTTACAAAGAAATACAGTAAATAAAATATTTTTGTAAAATTGTATTTGTTTTTCATTATTTTACTCTTTTAGAATATCAGTTTATTTTCTAAACAATTTCATTCTTTAAAAAATATTCAGGTACTTACAAGGGCATATATTATGTACTACTGTACTTTCTAGGGACCGTTGTATTTAACTACAACGGGCTCTGTTGCTAGTGTTTAATAAGTTAACTTTGTTTTGTTTACAATCATTGTTATTTAGGATTCATTTCAGAATACACCTATTTTATTTTACACATCTTTTATTTAATATGTAACAGTTTGGCGACGAGGAAAACCAGTTTTTAATTTTTTTTTACATTCTATTTATTAGCCTACAATTTGTTTTTTAATATGAGTGACCTAAGTAACACTGAAAGTTTGACTGATTTAAAGAAGATTAGAGTAGTAGTGAAGGGTCAGTTGTCTAAGGCTGAAAGATGGCTAGCAAACCTACAAAACATGTCAAAAGAAGTAATAAAAACCAGGATAACAACAATTGAAGATTATTGGGAAAGATTTAATTCTGTACAACAATTAATAGATGAGAAAACTGAAGAACCAAGTTGAAATTGAGAAAGAAATTGATTACAGAGTAGAAATGGAGGACAAATATTACAAGGTAATGGATGAGTTACAAAAACGTATGGGACAGCTTTCAGAACTACAAGTGAACATTCAAAATATTGTGCCTAGTATATCAAATTTGTCTTCTCCACAACGTCGATCCACTACTTCCTCAATGATTTTCACACCATATCAGGAAAATGAATCATTCAAGAACTTCATTCGTCGATTTGAGATATTTCTATATCTACATAGCCAAGAATTGGAACCAAAGGATCAAGTGTATACAATGCTACATGCCTTAACGCCACATTTACATCAGAAGCTGTATGATTTGTGCGCTCCTGAAAGTCCTTTAGATAAAACATATGCTGAATTAGTAAGTCTTTTGGTTGATTATGTTGACCCTAAACCTAGTACTTGGACCTTACAACACAAATTTATGACAAGAACACAAGAATCTGAAGAAACCGTAAAAATATATTCCGTTGAGCTTCAAAAGTTATCTTCAGACTGTGATTTCAACTGTAATAATTGTGGGAAATCAATTGCAAACACATTACCACGCATGCAGTTTATAAGAGGTATTAGCAATTCAGACATAAGAACAAAATCATTACAAGAAAGATCTGCTTCATCGTTTCAAGATGTAGTGAAACTTGCCTCCATCATGGAATTGGCAAAGAACGAAAGCCATATAGTAGAAGAAAACATTCATTCAAATGAGAAAATCAACAAGATAGCAGGTACAGAAACAAAACCACCCAAAGAATATTGCATTTTGAATGAATAAAAGCCATACTTTTGGTTTACTAAGTCTTTCTTAAAACAATTTTATTCATTCATTGATAAACTCAGTTAGTGCTACGAATGGAGAAATTCCTTAGACCAGACAAATTGCAAATTGGCCCGGAATCTCCAACTGCCTCAGAGGAATGGACGCACTCTGGTTACAAACATTCGAAGACTTTCTAACCATGACAGAATTCGTTGAAGACAAGGACAAACTAACTAATCGATTATCTTTTACTACTTATAGATTTATCAAGGAATCTGAAACTTACCAAGACGCTTTGAGAGTTCTTAACTCAATTTACATCAAACAAAAGAATGAAATATTCTCAAGATATTTAGTAATGACTAGAAAACAGCAACAAGGTGAGACTATTGACAAATATGTGTCGGAACTGAAACTTTTGAGCCAAGATTGCGTTTTTGAAGCTGTTAATGCGATTCAATACAGGGATCACTACATTCGTGATGCTTTTATCAATGGCTTAGCCTCGTCATACATACGACAGAGACTATTTGAAAATAAAACTTTAGACCTAGCTGAAGCAGTGAAACAGTCTAGAGATCTTGAAATGGCTGAAGCTCAAGTCGAGAGCTATCCAAAATCTATGTACGGAATGCAAACTTTTGCAACGAATGAATTGGCACAGCAAGCTTGTCAGTACGAATTCCCACTACAACAAAAGGAAGAAGCGACTGTGTCCGCTATTAAAAATGTTGATGGCAAGTGTTATTTTTGTGGGTATGACAGACACTCTAGAGATCGCTGTCCAGCCAGAGAAGCAACTTGTGGGAAATGTAACAAGACAGGGCATTATGCGAGAGTCTGTAAAAGTAATCCAACTCAACATTTTAAAGTAAAACAGAAGACGTCTAGTACATCAGCTGCACTAATAGCAACAACACATAATACATCTGTATTGAAGGACTCTACAGTTGAAGCTAAAGTGAATGGCCTGAAAGCCAATTGCTTAATAGACACCGGGAGTACATCAAGCTTTGTAAACTTGAAGTTTGTTCAGTTAAACAAAATTAAAATGTATAATGAAAGTGGACAAGTATCACTAGCTGCTTATAATATGAAATCAAACTTCCATGGGTTTGTTAAAATCAACCTAAATCAGTTGAATCACAATTACAACAATTTTAAGTTGACTGTTCTTGAAGATCTTTGGACTGACGTGCTTATTGGACATGATATCATGAAACTCCACTCAAATATACAGGTTTGGTTTGGAGGTAAGAAACCTCCTCTGTTGGTGTGCTCCTGTGCCAAAGTTGAACCACCCAAACTATTCTGCAATTTAACTCCAGATTGTAAGCCAATAGCCACAAAATCACGACGTTACTCAGATGAAGATATATGCAATTTATAAAACAAGAAATGGAAAGACTACAGACTGAGGAGATCATTGAACCTAGTTCGTCACCTTGGCGTGCACAAGTGTTGGTTGTTACAAACGACAAAGGGAAGAAGCGACTGTGTGTGGACTATTCGCAAACGATAAACAAATTTACTCTTTTAGACGCCTATCCCTTACCAAACATAGATGATCTAGTATCCACTGTAGCGACGAACAAGGTTTTTAGTGCCATTGATCTAAAGCAAGCATACTATCAAATATCAATTTCTGACGAAGAGAAGAGGTACACTGCTTTTGAGGCTGCTGGTCGTCTTTTTCAATTCAGAAGAATCCCATTTGGTGTAACCAACGGGGTGGCATGTTTTCAAAAGACCATGGACCAAATCATTAGTAAACAGCCATTAACGTCGCGATTTGCATTTTTATAAACGAAATTAAATATTGCACAATCATTATTATTGTGTAATAATGACATTTCAAATAATTTATCTTGGTTCAGTTGTACAAACGGCAATGTATAAAATTATAGCTAACTCAAACTCAACTAACAACTAGCCAAACACTGTATTTCTATAAATAACGTAAATATTAAACCTCGTCGTCATCAAAATTCTAAAATGCTAATTCTTTAACAAAATCTCTCCAAAACAATATATGTTGTATGGTATCCATTTTGGTCGATTCCTTGGTCTTTATTTGGTTCTAGTACTATTTTAACATCATCTGGCCTCTTTACCTATCTAAAAGCAACATAAAGTTGACCATGGGTAAACACTGGATTTTCAAATAAATGCCAACTTTTATGAAGGTTCGGCCTTGCGCCACAATTTCACCAAATCAAATTGCGCAATGCACCACAATGAATGCACCAACCGTTCATTGGTCCTACGCTGTGTAATGCAATCTAATTTAAAAGTGGTAATCCACACACAGGAATAAATTCATGTTCATCCGATGCTCATTTATTCTTCTTCCATTAATATCGTGCCAAATCTGGTGCCTGTTGCTCTCATTTCGAGGAACAATACCTCTGCGTGGTAGCATTGAGTATACACTGGTGGTAACTTAGTCTTCCGACATTATACATTACCGTGCAAAAGAACAATCCATTGTAAAGTATTCAGTTTAAAAGTAAGAAATTGTTTGTTCAAAAGATTTTATCTAAGTTCCACTTTGTGTTGTTTACTACTTCACTAACAAATTTACAATAACAAAATCCCAAAATCCCCCATTTTAGGGATGTACACCAAGTGACGGTTATGCCCAAAAAGTACTTCATAACATGTCATAAAGGTGTGCCGAGTTTAGTTTTTCTAGGATAGGCCGTTAAAAAAATAACAGGGGGTCTCCACACTTTTTACTAACCCTGTATAGATGCTTATTAAGAAGGAATGGTAGGTAGAAAAAACCATTAACTAGATATCAAATAATTGAATATTTTATTTAACGGTAGCAAGCTATAAGATTGGTTATTACAAAAAACTTATAACAAAAATATATTACAGTATTGCTTACACATATCACCTATTTAACAATTGGGCATTCAAACTAATTAACATTTTCAAAACTTAAGAATGAGCAACTCAAAAAACCAGACTGACTTAAGATTATTTAGTAGTATGTCCGGAACCATATGTGTTGTTCCATGTTACATAAGTTTCCAGATCTTTTGGAGAGACGCTGGATCGGACGACTTGCAAAGCAGATTTGAAGTCCTTCACGGTTACTGGTCTTACCTGCCAACAAAAGATGAGGAAATAATCACCAGATTATATTTTGTGTGTATTTTTTAAGAAGCTTCTATCTACATGGGGATAGAAGCGTCAGCTAGAAATAGTAAGCCAGTAGGCTTACTATCGTTAGCCTATATCAACCAGGGACGTATTTAACTATCTCCCGCCACCCCTCTTCAGCATGCTCCCCGACCTCACTAAAGCCCCGTTCACACGGGGCGAGTTTACAAGCTACAAGCCTGAATTTTTACCTGCAGCTAGTAAAATAGCTCAGTGTGAACGACGTACTTGCTCAAAAGCTGCTTGTAAAAAAGCTCTGGAAAAAGTTGATGCTGCCGCTACTTTACACGCCAACTCGCCAGCTTTTGAGCGAGTAGGCGTGTTAAGTAGCCCAGTGTGAACACAGTTGCTTGTGCTTGTGCGCATGTTATTCGAAGATGTCGGAGGATTTAGTTCAAGCCAGCTACTGATCGAGTGGAAAAAGCATCGTGTGAACGACTACAAGCGCACTCGCCGACGTCTTTCTACACGTCAGCGAGTTGGCAAGTGGACAAGCTCTGTGTGAATGCATACAAGTGCACTCGCCAACTCGCCGGCTTCTTACACGCTGGCGAGTAGCGTGTAAACTCGCCCCGTGTGAACGAGGCTTAAGATTACCCCAATACATGCCCTGTCAGCTGATTTTGTAGAAAAGTAATAAATAGGCAATTGCATGCTGCATCAACAAATCTGATAACATTTTGCGCCCTTTTTTACAGACGTTTTTGTTTTGCCGTTTTCATGCAAAACGCAATTCCGTTTTGGATACATGGAATGCAACATTGTTGTATTGTATCCAATCAAAAAAGGCATAATCACGTTTTGTGGTGCGAAAACGGCTCACAATAACGTCCGTATACAAAAGGTTCCTATAATGCTTTTCATTGTAAACTTTTAGTCAGGTATACAGTCACAAATACTTTTATTTACAAAACTGTTTTATTTGAAAACTAAATGAATCAAAACAAAAAAAGTAAGTGGATCTGACTAAAAAAAGTGTTCAATGACATGCGTTATTATAAGCATTCATTCATGACAGGCCCTGCTTTGAAGAATAACATAAAATTTTGTATAAGTTAACCCATTGGGGAAGGAATTAATGCGCTACCTGCAGCACCCTCTGGCGGCAATTAATTTTACCGAATTTGTAGACTTTTACTCTAACTGCTATATAAAGAAAACCTCAGGTAATAAATTAATAATTCTTTCACCATTTTCTTCACAGTAAAATTGTCTACAGAAAAGTGGTAATTGGATAGTAAAAGTTCTAAAATTAAAAAAAATTATATATAAAGATTATAAAAATAAAATTTTAAAAACAATATTTTGAAAGTTAACTTGATATACAAATTCCAAGATTAATCCAGACACCAAATAACACTACCATTATAAAGTTCAATCGATTCCCTACGTAGAAAAATCAAAAGTTGTGTACTTTTATAAGTAACTAGCTGAACCCGGCAGACGTTGTCTTGCCTAAATAATATCTTGACAGCCATATTTTACTGTGTTAAGATAGAGACCTCTAGCTGTAACCCGCGGGCTTTGCCCCGTTTAACTTCTTAATTTTCAAGATGATCTCGTTCGCATGGCTCAATCACGTCCTGGTTGAAGTTTGTTCGCTACGCTCACTCACCTTTAGGTTGGAGCTCGTTCGCTACCCTCACTCACCTTTAGGTTGGAGCTCGTTCGCTGCGCTCACTTGCCTTCAGGTTAGCTCGTTCGCTACGCTAACTCGCCTCCAGGTTGAAGTTTGTTCGCTACGCTCACTCACCTTTTGGTTGCAAATTAGCTGTTGTCATAAATGTAAAAGAAATAATAGTGCTGCACCCTGTTGGTAATCCTTGTAACTTTAATGCTATTGAACATCATAGAACAGAACCAACTTGTTTAATTGAAACAGCTGTTAAGATTCATTAATTCCATTTCTCATAAGGTTAACATGGGAAACTCCAGAGCCACTGGGGCGGAGCCGATTGGACGGATCAGGAAATTGATGGTGTATAAACCTATTCCATGACATTCTACACGTATGTACCAAGTTTCGTGGCAATCGGTTCAGCGGTGTCTGAGTTTATCACTGCCAAACAAATATATATACAAACATCCTCTTTTATACTTATAGATAACATTTAAAAAAAAATTGTTTGTTTACCTTACCGCAGCTGATTTTTGGTGATATGTGGTTTCCATGGCAACACAAAATTGTTTGTTATTCGCTAAAATAAATGAGTAAATACGCAAATCAAGAAGCAAGATATTTATAAACATTATAATAGTAAGAGGAAACAAAAAGGGCGAAAAAAGATAATAACTAAATAACTAATGGCGCTGCCTAGCGGTGACACGAGCGGCACTCGTAAGTCGGCCGCCGGGCCTGCAGCGGCCGTACGTGTAACGCTCGTAAGTCAGTCAGCGCCAATGGGTTAAGTTAGTAGTTTGTTCACACGTTCCTCCTTGATTTTAGCCTAACAAATGAATCAATAACTGATCAAGTTAAGTCCAGGGAGTTCAGTAGTTCTTCAATATTCAAGACTGCTAGTTAGCAAAGTCTTTTGTCAGAATATCGGCTTCTTAAATAATTTGTTGCCCTTTGAAGGCATGAAAATGATCTTTCTGGTGAGCAGTTTATATAGCTTATATAGTTTATCTTCTCCAATTTCTTTCAAAAGCCTTAGTGAAGTGATTTTGTTAGGGTTTTCACTTGGACATTTGGCTTCAAGTTCGAGTTAAATATAAGTTTTTGATCTCATCTTAGCTAGGGTTTTCTTTATTTTTCAAGTCTTGCTTTGAAACTTTCAATATAGGATTTAAAGTGTACAAGCTCATCAAAGAAGCTATCTTCAACATCTAATAAGTGATGAGATCGATCACCAGCTTCTCTTAGCTAACATCAGTATGTCCATATTACAGATATCATAAACGCTGCCGCTGCGTAGTAACGAACGATAGCAGGGGGAGGTTGGCCTACACTACGCGTACGCAGCGGCCGGCAGCCCACGCCCGCAAGCCGCGACGTGTCTGCCAGACCAACAGGGCAGTACAGAAAACACGGCACAGCCGCATAATAAATTATAGTCTTTGACTTTAATGAGTTCTGGAATCAGTGTATACCCAATCAAAGTATTTAAAATAGCATTTTTGCAGTTCTAAAAAAAAATTGTTCTACATTTATTTTTTTAAATTAAACCTCCGTTTTGATTATTTATTTTCCAAAATTTTGCCGCCTTCTAAAATTTGCCGCCCTAGGCATGTGTCTAGTCCGCCTATTCGGAAATATGGCCCTGATATCAACTAGAGCGTATAGGTTAAGATGTGTTCTATGTTACAAGAGGAAAATATGAAACTTAAAAAAATTAGTAAATATCAAACAAAGAGTGTGTCATACATACCTGATCAGGGTTGATATTTTGAATGTCCGAGAAGCTGAGAGCACGTATGGGACCAAGACAGGCTTCTTGACACAGTGTCTTCATGTCAGCTCCTGAGTAGCCATCAGTGAGAGCTGCGATCTCCTCCACCTCAGTGACTGTCAGATCATGACGTTCCGAGGACATCAGTGTCTGCACCATCTGACAGCGAGCCTAAAACATCAACATCAGATGACACTGATGAATGAAGAAATGAGGATTGAGGCATTTGACACGGACTTCTCCTTAAAAACGAGAGTACCTATCGAGATCCAAATCATTTTAATGTATTCATTGGATTGGAGAGTGTCTTAAGCCATCAAAATATGGTCTCACTACTTTGTAAATAAAGTGACGGACGTTTAAAACCCTAATTTTGTGCTATTTTTGTCAAGTTTTCTCCCAATATTTATCACATATCTATGAAATAACGAACAGCTGTTCGGATCAAGATTATTTTTTCTAGCTGTCACTGATATGTTTACATTAAATGTTGTTTACAAATACCACAACCATTTCCAATCACGTTTTGAAAGCAAATCCAAACCAAGTGAGATTAAAAACGATTTTCCTTACATAACGGATATAATTAATCGCAAGTGCAATAATGTAACCGTAACCGTACAAAACTAAAATTAGCAGGTAAATGAAATTAGAGATTTTTTGTGTATAAAATTGTTCTTGAGTTTTGATAACTGGGAGAGAGATCTTGAATCAGTGTTGTATAGGGCTGGGAAACTTACATTTATTAAATCGTCGTCGCCAATAGCTTACAAATAAGGTTTCCACTCATTGACGGCGCTTCAAGGACAGTTGTGTGTAAAGTAAAAAATCACAACTGCAGTGGGTGATTGTAGCAGAAGTTTACCGGTTTACGGATGATGCTAAACTCGCTTTTCCAATGTGTCACTCTCGACATTACAGTATTCTATAGTCTGTGCTCTCAGTTTCTACTGGTTTACTCACCGCTATGTTCTGCAATCGCTCGACCATACAGCCAATAAACCCAACATTGTGTGATTTTTTCACATTTCCTTCTGATGTTTACTAGGTATACCAAACATCGTTTAGAGAATACATCATCTACTAAATAACAAAAAGTTGTTTGGATAAGGTTGTTTTTTTCAAACTGTCACCGATTTGTTTAAATTAAAAGTTGTTTAGAAATAATGCAATTAATGGGAAATAGCTTTGATTTCCGATGACTTATTTTGAGAAAATCCAAAACCAAGAGAGATCAATGATTAACGCATTTAATTGGTCGGATGTACTATAGGTCTTAACTGTAAACATTGGTTCTTGTACTGGTTCTTTTCCTTAGAACCGGTGGTATAAGCAAGAATCATTTTTACGCACCTACACATCACTATTTAGAAATTAGTTATCGTTGGTGTTGTACCTTTTTTATTACAGCCATATTCAATTTATTTAATGTTTTACTGTATAAGTTTTGCTTTTTCTGTCTGGATTGCAAAATGTTAGTTTGTGCTAAGAAAATCATAACACATTTGACTACAACATTTGTTGAGCAAACCATCATAAATTGTTTACGGTTTTATGTATCAATAGTTCGTGGCCTGTGTGTTGTAAATTATCAATCTAAATCGTCTATAGTACTTCATTTCATATAGTAAGCTGTCATTTCGACTGCATTTCGGGTCATCTTCGGACTAAGCAAATATAAATTGTTATGATAAAGTTTGATGACACTAACAAAGATTTCAAATATTAATTTCATATGTACTTTGCTATGGTTAAAGCGTAGCAAATTCCTGTGTATATGTCTGTTGGTAACGCATTAATGTCCTTATTTCTCAGTGTTTCACGGAAAGGACAAGAGCACCTTTGATAATGAAAATGTCAATGTTTAATGGTGAGGTTTGGGTAGTATTTTAACTACTTTTAACCATTGTGGAAAGTAACTTTCAATTATAGGCCTACTTTAGGGCTATGCCTCGTAGATCTATAAAGTAATTTTTGGCTTGAAACTGTCAGATACTGTATTTGCGAAGGTTTATATATAATAGTTTTGTCAGCATATCTGAAAATATGCAAACCAACTGCTGTTATTTATATAAGAAGGTTTCAACTGACTACTATAAGATCCCCCTGCGTAGAACGGGCACACAGCTAGTTTAGAATAAATTCCTTTTGTAAAAATACTAAATAAATAAAAATAGATTCTACATATGTTTTTGTAAAATATGGCCTACTAGAAATTTGAAAAACCTATTTTTTTTTAATAACCTAAGCCAATAAAATGTAATTAATTAATTGTATATTTTTTAATGAACCTTAATAGACAATAGACAATTCCTTTATTACAATTTCATCAAGAAATGTTACAGCGTCAAATTCAAATAAATAACATTGGTATAATAGATAACAAGTGAAATGGAAAAGCTTCTTCAGTGTTGTGTGTGGTCTTGCCATGCAAAGAAATCCTTTAGGGTGTCCTTAGTTATTACTTTCATTTATTTCTTTATACATTGTTACATATTCATATTAAGAATATTTGGGTAGTACACGACAAAATAATAAAATTAAGTGGCAATGTACTTATTACAGAACTGTTCCGTGATACGAGATTTTAGCCCGATACAGCCATCATGGAACTGTTCCGTGATACAAGGATAATGGCTTAAAATCATGGCTAGAGGAGAAAAATCTCATGATGGCAGTACCCAAAACAGAAAACGCGATGGTCACTTAGACTGTGGATAAGAAGATAGGAAGATTGGACCTTAGACTTCTCATGGTCTGAGCAAGTGCAAGAAGAGGGGTGGTTTTTAGTGGGTTACCAGGGACGTGAGAAAGTGGGGAATCCTGCATATCCTTATCTGCTTAAAATTGTCTCCCCCTCTTAAAAATGAAAAAATAACTTAAGGGCAGATAGATTAAAATCAAAGCAAACTGAGAACCTTACCGGATGGTCTGGCAGTGGAATGTAAAGCCTTTTAACCAACCGTCGTCGAGCAGCCTCATCCAACTCTTGTGGTCGGTTTGTGGCTCCAATCACAAGTATTCTGTCTTCTTCTCCAGTCCCAGCTCCATCCTTTTCAAACAAACACAAACATGCGAACAGCATTACTACAGATACTAGAACTATAACTACTTCTTCAAACACAATAAAATCTATTTATGGTCTGATATCTGCTATTGATAACATCTAGAACAATCCCAATAAAGTAGTAAAGTTGTGTTTACATTAGTTAGTGTGCACTCAAAATGTTTGAAACAATTTCTGATCCTGCGGACTGTGAAGTGTGTTCTTTAATACGATTTTTGAACACGAGGAACGTGAAGCCTGCTGAAATTCATTGCCGACGTACAGAAGTTTATGGATAAAAAGTTATCAGTGATGGAATGGCAAGAAAATGGGTTCGGCAATTCAATGATGGGCGATCAATGTTCATGACGAGGCTCGCAGCGGGCGGCCATCTGTTGTGAGTCAGGAATTGGTTGGAAAAGTCAATGAAAAAATTCGTGAAAACAGACATTTTACCATAAGAATGCTTTCTGATGAATTCCCACAAATTTCAATATCTCTTTTGCATGATATTGTGGTTAATCGCTTGAATTATCACAAGATGTGTTCCCGATGAGTTCCGAAAATGCTTACGGATGAACACAAAAAAGAAGCGACTTGGCAGTGCCTTGACATTCCTCACTCGTTACAATGATGAAGGAGAAGAATTCTGAATCAAGATTGTTACAGGTGATGAAACTTGGGTTTGTCATGTCACTCCAGAATCCAAACAACAGTCAATGGAATGGAGACACTCACGATCCCCCAAAAATCAAAATGTCCAAAACAACTTTGCCGAAAAGAAAAATGTGCACTGTGTTCTGGGACAGTAAGGGGATTCTCTGCTTGTTGATTTTCTACCCAGAGGGGAAACAATCAATGCGGAACAATCTTGTTAAACCCTGAGAAAACTTTGGTGTGCGATTCAGAACAAAGGACGTGGAATGCTTAGTGAAGGCATTGTGTTGATCCATGACAACGCACGTCCCCATTCAGCTGGTGCCATTCAAAACCTTATTCACGGCTTTTGGTTGGGAGCAGTTTGACCATCCGCCGTACAGCCCTGATCTGATTTCCACATGTTTTTGCACTTGAAGCAGGATTTCGGAGGGCGCCGCTTTAACAGCGATGACGATGCTCAAGACGGTGTTCGGCAATGGCTCTCTTCAATGGCGGCATCTTTCTATGAAGAGGGTATAGAAAAGTTGGTTCCTCACTACGACAAATGTCGAAACAATGGTGGAAACGGAAAGTATGTAGAAAAATTGTTTAAGATATCCTCTTTCTTATAGAAATAAATTTTGTTGAAAAAACTATCTGTATTTTTTTTTCCAAAACAGTATTTACTTTCTGGATCATCTTATCTTACTAATATTATAAATGTGAAAGTTTGTGTGTTTGTTTGTTTGTTTGTTTGAAGTTCAATCACGCATAAACCACTGGACGGATTGGGCTGAAATTTGGCATGATGATAGCTTACATTCCCGATTAACATATAGGTATATTATTATCTCAAAAATCCTTTCGGGCTCCGCCCCAGTGGCTCTGCAGTTCTCCATGTTAACCTTATGAGTATTCATATTTAAAGGGAATTAAAGCATTTAGTCAGCTGTTTCAACTAAAAAAAGTTGGTTCTATGACATACAAAAGATTAAAAAGTTATATTTTTACCAACAGGGTGCAGCACTATTATTATTTTTGCGTTTATTTAAACAGCTAATTTGAACTAAGCAGCAACAACAAACTGTGATACACAATGAGAACTGTCAAAGTAGGATTGTTTACAGTTATTTTTTTATGTCATGAATAATTTGTAATTTTTTGTGAATTTTTAATTATTTATTTTTCTTTATTGTTTAAGTGTGAAGTGGTAGAACATTATGGTTGGTAGATGTGTAATACTATAGAATACCGTCAATTTAAAGAAGCAAATTTTATCAAACTGTGTCCTTCCCCATTGCAAATGCAAAGCTTGAGTATAACTGCACTACGCATTTTAAACTTATATTCCAACCCCGTACGAAGGACGGGTACTCTGCTAGTATCAAATAAAAATCATTTTTATTTCAGTAAGTAATACATTATTACAGTACTTTGTCAGTATCAATTTTATAGTTATGTAATGATTATAATAATATACTGACTTAGTAATTCATATGAAATGCCTCTCACATAGGCTCGTAGGTTTAGTGAGAGGAATGTAAACTTAATATTTGGGGGATAATTAGTGATGTGGGCCGGGTAAATACCCAGTGGGTAGGTAAATATAAATTGGGTTTTCACCCCAGTCCAGGGTAAATACCCAAAAACTGGGTATTTATAATTTTTATTAAAGCTAGAGAAGATTGAGATGTTTTTTTTTTGCAATTATTACCCAGTAAGGATAGTAAAATGATGATTAAATGTGTTAAACAAAATTTCATATGGTCACTACTAGTATTTTACTTCTGGGTATAATTGCCATAAATATCCAGGACTGAGCATAAAGCATAATCGGCATAAGAACCCTGGTCGCATGGTTGCACTGGTCTTGACTACTTATGATTTTTTAACTTCTATGATAAATAGATGAATTTATTTGATTAAAAGTGAAAAAATTATTTGCAAAGTAATTATTATTATTTAGAAAGACAGGAAAATTTAACATAGTGGCTTTTTTGTAAACAACTTAAGAAAATTATTAAAATTCAATCTGTAGGATGGCAGGATTTAGTAATATTTTTGTTCTAGATGTTTTATTGGTATCAATGGTATCAAAAAAAAAAAAAAAAAACTAATTTCATAAACTTGTGATACAAAACATTTGAATCTATAGCACAATAAATCTTTCAAAATTATATTAAGTTAGACCAAAAAACAGGAGATACATTTTTTAGTAGGTTTATCCAAATATATTATTGTTTTCAACTAAGCGGTAACACAGAAATGTTTAATTACTTAGTATTCTGCCATTCTGCCTATGTCAATCAGGCCTTAGGTCTGTCTAGCCTTCCAAGCCATTGATACAATAAAAATTTTGCATCATAAATACCCAACAATTCCCGGATATTTATAAATTAAAATAATTTTGTTTATGTTATTTAATTAGTTATAAATTTATAAAATGATAAAAATTGAAATAGCCACAGCCTTTTTAATATACTATTTTTTAGTAAGTTAAATTTAACTGATGTTACTCGATTTAAGACACAAAACCCCATGCTTATTTAGAAACTTTATGTATTATTAAAGAAAAGTGCTAAATCATTAAATAAAAGGTGCTAGCAAAGCTTCAAGTTACTGTTAAAGGCGTTATAGACTATCCTAATTTATCATGTAATGATAACAATAACATATTTAGGGGTAAATATAAATTAATTTCAATTGATTTCATAAATACCCAAAATACCCGGGTATTTATGGATTTTGGGTATCCACCCCGAGTTTTAAATACCTGGGTATTTTACATCACTAGGGATGATAAAAAAATATCGGGGACTGAAACATTTATATCCAACAATTAAAGAAAGTAGAACATGGCACATACTACCTAATAAATTTCACAATGGTTAGACACAGGCTTGTGGGCATTACCTAATTGCATTAATAATTGTATTGTGGGTAAAGATAGCCCCTCTTTGCTATTATTACCACTTGAGGAAATATAATATTAAAGGTAGAAAATGGATCCGAGTTTTTAATTTATTGACTAATTGATTGATTGGAATTCCAGGTAATGATTCAAGAGAGTAAATTTTGGTATTTTAAGGATTGAATGAAACATACTCATTTTATGCTACATTAGAGCTGAAAAACTATCACAATATTCAATACATAGTAGTTCAAATAGCAACAAGGCTGAAGATTTAGAATAGAGTGAGAGTGCACTGACAACATCTTAACACATATCACATTATCACTTTTCACATTATCTTACCAACTGAACAAGGAACTCAGTTTTGATCCTACGAGAACTCTCGTGTTCAGTCTCACTTCGCTGACTCAACAATGAGTCAATCTCGTCAATGAAAACCACTGCAGGCTGATGAACTCTGCAACCAAAACAGACACATTAATGAACAGAAATAAATCTGGTGACAGGGGAAGGAATGAATACAGTAAAATGTTGAAATGTCAAAATGTCAAATTAGAGGGAATATAATCTACAATTAGGTCGGTTCATAGAAAAATGTATCCAGAGAAAGATAAGATTGGAGGGGAATAGATCTACTGGTGGGAATGATCAGTTCAAGGGGAAAATTGAAACTATAACCAGTTTCAAGAGAATTCCAGAGAACAAATCTGCAAAAAGATTGGACCCAAGAGGAATGAACCAAGGTTAGGGCAATGAGTAAGGAGCTGGGTCAGTTCAGGGGGAATAGATTTAGAGAAAGGTTTGCTCCCCTTCATAACCCCTTTCATAGCAGTGTAACGATCTTGTGGCATTAAGTGGTTTATCCTCTACAAAATAGTGATTTAACAAGCAAATCAATTGATACAGAAGTGTAATAACTGAAATGGGATATCAACCCCTATAACCACTTATAATTTTGGAGATGTAGGACAAATGAGTTCTACCAATTCTGTAGACTGACAGGTTTGTGTTTGGCCAGTAACCAGATTCTTCGTATTACTATGGCACAACTTTTCCACGTTCTACAAAAGTGGAAGGTGGCACACCACGCTTATCACACTGATTGAACATATTTTAGGACATAAATCGTTATCAAATTTACAACATCATTATCATTTACATTAAATTGTTCATTTACAATGTAAATCTTGTCCAAAAAATAAGATAGCCACTTTTTATTCTTGGTTAGTAACCTGAAACATTCTGTGGAGATAGGTTGTAGATACATCTGGCATTTTTCTAGATATTCATGGATGGGTATCACATCCATCCACACAATTCTTCAGGGTCTTAGATAATTTTCATTTTAGAAATTTTTACCTGTATTAGGTCTAGTAACCCTCCTGCCCAAAAAGGGTTGATATAAACCTATGGTGTTAACAAAATGTGTAATGAACCTTGTATGAAAATTAAATCTGAATTCAATAACAAATTGTAAGTGTTAAGGAAATTACAACAGAAATTTATTTGGATAAAATATTTGCTGGATTTGGATTCAAAAATATAAATTAACCTGGCTAGAGTGAACAGCGTGCGGACCATCTTCTCTCCTTCTCCCACCCACTTGGACGTCAAAGAGGAAGCACTGATGTTGAAGAATGTAGACTTGGATTGTGATGCAATACACTTGCCTGGCAACAATCACATAACACATTCGTTATTACATCCATTTTTTTCTCAACTGTACTAATGTTGAAGTACAGCTTGTATTGATTCATTGCTTAGGTCAATTAGGAGAGAGTAGAGAAACTTTCAAATGAAAGTGATTTAGAAGTTCTTTTTGCAGAAAGAACACTTCTTAGTGAACTTCTGGTTATTGATAACACAAAATACAGGGTTATTCTAAATGATGGGCCCATTTTTAATGCTTTATAATTTTTATACTATTAAACTTACCGCTATAAAATACACATCAAACGAAAAAGCAACTCAAAGAGTTTATGCCTTCCAAAGACACATAATTTAACAAAATCGATCCAACAGAACTGTAGATTTAATTGTACAAAGTTAAAAAGTAATCTCCAACTTTTTTACCACTAGAAATTTGGAGATTACTTGACGTTTTTGAAAATAACTTTTAAATGGTGAGGAAATCGACCTAAGTGGAAGGTGTTATTCTGAAAGAGAATAAAATTTCCTACAATCTATTATTAAGCATTTTTTGAAAATACTCAAGAAAGGTACCCAAAATTGCCTCAAAATTAAAAAAATTAAAAATCCCCGTCTTCAATGTAGACAATAAACATAGCAAACATTAAATTTCACACTTTTTTATTTTAAGCCAAATTTAGGCTACATTTATTGAGTATTTTCAAGATATGCGTAATAGTAGATTGTAGGAAATTTTATTCTCTTTCGGAATATTACCTACCACTTTGGTCGATTTCCTCACCATTTAAAAGTTATTTGCAAAAACGTCAAGTAACCTCCAAATTTCTAGTGGAAAAAAAAGTTGGAGATTACTTTTCAACTTTGTACAATTAAATCTACAGGTCTGTTGGATCGATTTTGTTAAATGATGTGTCTTTGGAAGGCATAAACTCTTTGAGTTACTTTTTCGTTTGATGTGTATTTTATGGCGGTAAGTTTAATAGTATAAAAATTATAAAGCATTAAAATGGGTCCATCATTTAGAATAACCCTGTATACAGTATAAACAACTGCAACAAGGTAATCAGATAGTAAGATAATGATCAGATAGCAATAAAATATGGATTAGGAAAGAATAGGCTTCAGCCTCGTTGAATAAATTGAGCACTACAGAATTGTATAACTAGAACAAAAATATATTATACTAGGGGAAACCCGTCGAAATCGACGGTTACTTTCAAGGCTTACGTTAATTCATCTAACTGCGATAAATTGGGTGAAATCATATTTTGAGCATTTAGCATTGTTTAAAGGGTAGTAAGTGTGAAAACAATAATGAATTAAATTGCGTTAGTTACCAAATTTGGTTGATCATTCAATGATTAAAATATTTCCCATACCGTACGTCATTTGACTCATCGGAGTTATTATTAGTATGTTATATGATATCTCTTCCTTTGGAAGAACCTTTAAATAGTATTAAAATCGTATTGGTGGGTCTTTTGTAGTTAAACACTTCTGTGATTTCATCAGTGTAATATGATTTTATTTGAAAAGAAAATATTTTTTGGGAAGAAATGTTCTAACTTCAAAGGGAGGTATGTCCGTTACAGTGTAAGTTTGATTTTTCCTTCGTCACGTCGCGTCAGCTCATATCGTACTTCTGTGTCAATGAATGAACCCTCTAGCATAGTTATGAGAAATTTATTGTGGGGTTACTGTTAAAGCTGGAATTCCTTGACATGGGGGATGTCAGTTAGTTGTCTCAGCCTTATCAATAACATAAAGTTGTCAATATAATCTCTCTACGGAATGATAGGTGTAGTGGAATACTTGAAGTGAAGTTGGCTTTTATTCTTAAACTGTTAGGGACCTCCTAGTTTATATGGTCTTGCGGCTTCATTGGCAACAAATAATGCAAATGACATAGCAATGGGACATTTCCAAAAAGAAAAAAATACTGTAAATTGGCTGTTGCGTATATATTGACGTTTACATATTGTAAATCAACGTATCTTATAAAGGATTATGAGGTCTAGTTTAAAAGGAATATGACCTTTCTGTCATGACAGTAGCTGCTAAAATAGTATTTTCTCTTTGTACCATATTTTACAGCCAAAATGTCGTGTTATTTTCAATAATGTTACCAACCCAGTGCGCCAAAGTCCGTAATATAGGCAGGTGCAAATAATTTGTCAAGATGGGTACCATTTTAGGCAATGTTTCTATGTTTGGATTTTATTAGACACGATAAGAGCAGATATTTCTACATGAATATTTGATATGTGTAGAATAATATGATAAAATTTAGGCAAAAGTGGTGAAAAAGGCAGACACCAACCTGTACAATAGATATAAGATAGTTCAATAAGAAATAATTTAAGAATTTCTGTGATCAGAGGATTTTCCACTGATTTCGTAATAGAACGTTATATTGCAAAACATGACATGATAAAGAGGAAAATTAATTTTAAAATCAGAAAATAACATTGCAAATACTTATTTGGTACAATTCAGTAACCCAATAAATATGTGTGGTTTGAAATACAATTTAAAAATGAACAGCTGTTTTATTAAAAAGTATTATTCACATGGCCAAAATGTAAACAACTCTGTGGAGGGATCTTTAAAGGCTTCTGGGGCAGAGCCCTAAGGGATTTTGCTTAGTTTTTCTTTTGATATCTCATCTACAGACCAAGACCTTTCTTTGGACACCTCTACCAAGTTTCTACGCCCAGCCGTTCTCTCAAATTAGTGGGGACAAAGTTTCCAATTAAATATTTAAATTCCCCCATGTTAATCTTATGGGAGAAAATCCAACTTTGATGGCCTGTGGGGCAAAGCCCGAGGATTTTTATTACATGAATTGGTGAAAGGGGGCGTCTACACAAAAAATACTTTATTTTGACACGTCGTTTGTAAAAATCCGTCCATTATTAACGGAGGAGTAGTGTTTTCAAGAAATCGCCTTCACGTATTATATATAAGGATTCTTTACAGAAATCAGGGGTTTTCTCAAGTTTATCCACATCTATTAGAGATTTTAAAATACAAAGAAACATTACCAATTAGTGTTTTTCCTGTTCCTGGAGGTCCAAAGAGTAAAATTCCTTTGGGAGGCCTTCGCAATCCAGTGAAGATGTCTGGTCTTAACATCGGTAACACCACTATTTCCTGTTAGAAATCAAAAACCCACTGTTAGAACTTATGGCAATATACCTACTATATAACGGATATATTATTGTCATACTATACAATTACACTTACAGCTGGGATGGTTGTTAACTTAATCTATTTTAACAATCCTCTAATAGAAATCCATCTAGGCCCTATCCGAATCCCTGGTTATCCAAATCACTCGCAGAAAGAATTTTAAAAACCTTAATAATGACCTTCAGTAATCTTTATTAAAGAAGAAAGTAGTCGTGATCGCAGCAAAATCCTGAATATCATCCGTGGTTATCTAAACATTATCATCGTCTCCTTTTGATTGTGGACGCATCATCATCGTGTTCCGTGATCCCGGCAAAATTCCGAACATCTCCTGCAGTAATGTAGATCACACAGTTAAAGCTCATCTCGACTCCACGTCTTTTCTATAAAATTCCCCCGAATTTCTGTAGGTCTACACACACATCCAACGATCCGAAAGTTTGTCTTTCCATATTGGGTACGGTTCTCAATTGGTTTGGATTATTGGAGTTCTACAGTATTAAAAATGCTAAATTCGTCATATGCTTTCCTTAGCTCACCACCTCACTAGCCTACCTGTATTGTAGCCTTGGCAAAAGTTAATCCTGCGATGTCATCCCAATGTACGGGCGGACCATGATCCATGATCTCACTTCGTATCAAATCCACCAACTTGGGATCTATCAGTCTTAAAGATTCGTCTTCCCTTTCTCCCTCTTCGTTTTCATGAAATTGTTCCCTATAAAAAAGGTGCATTGATAAAACACTATATACAGTATAAATCCATTTAGTCAAGCGACCCAATTACAGTATCTGAATTTATTTTGAGAGGAAAAATAAAAATCAAGGAAATAACAACGAGAGAATGTATATCAATAATACGTTGTACAGTGACCACTGCAATGTGAGTGCTTGAATGAAAGCCTGAGCTTACCTTCTAGCGTGTTTCACTCATAACACCAACCAATGTGCAAAAGACAGTACCTACTTCTTTAACTTTTATTGGAAGTGTAAGTTATAAGGGTTTAAAAAATTAAGCTGTAAAACCCCCTTATAATTATTATCTCAAATTTAAAGGAATACACAATGTGACAATTGCTTTTTAACTGATGATGTACTCATTATTAGGAAACAGCGGTAGTCACTGCAACTACACAGGATCTTAATTTTAAATTAACCATAAATTTGTTTATTTTGTTCAAGAAAAAGATCAATGCCAGGATTTTGAGTTATAGAATAAAAGGGGATATCAGCTAGCTTACCTTAGAAGAAGTACAGGTAGGCCATAAAACACACAAATACAGAAAGAAAATTCTTTGAAATGAACTTTATTTCTCTGATTGTGTGCTTTATGTGTCTTCTGTTTGTTTTAAGGCCTACCTGTACTTCTCTTCTAAGGTAAACTAGCTGATATCCCCATTATTCTTAAATTTGCTTGGTTTAATTTGACCTACTCCTGAGAATCTGACTTGACTGGAACCACAAACTTGCTGTTGACAGAGCGAGTGCGGCCTCCGAGAGATTTTTTATTTGTTCCATAGCTAGCTGTGTCTGTACCTGCAGCTGCTTGGTTGCCATACTTCTTGGAATTCTGCAGTTTCTGTAAAATATAAGAATAGGTCACATAGTTAGGTAGTTGCCTGATATCTAAATGGTTGGGAAACTACAGCCCTACCAAAGAACCACGCTACCCATTTGGGTTACATGCAATTTGATTAAATTGCATATTCTTGCTTCAACTCTTAAAGCATTAAATACTGATTTATCTTAACCTAAACCTTAGTAACAGAACAAAATCTTAACCTAAAACAGTTTATGCGATAACTCAACAATATGGTTATAATCTTTACCTGATACGAGAAACTTGTTTTGTAATTTATATCTGTGATAGAGGTTTTTTGGAGGGGCCCACAAAAAATACAGTGGATAGCTCGGTTAGAGGTAGCACAGTAAAAAAGATGGTGGATTCTTTGTCTTTACAATGTGTGAGTTAACCAACACCTTGTTTTTAATGTTAGTTATTGTGCTTATTAGACAAGAGAAAAACACAATAAAAATGTGCATAAAAATAAATCAATTATTAATTTTTTGATCTCATTACACATCACTAAACAATGTGCTCCATCTGGTAAAATGAGTGAAACTAAATTGATATTTAGTCTCAGAAACAAGACTAAACTCACCAACTCAGTTCCTGCAGTCCTGAAAGACGGGGTGTACTGCGGCTTGGCAGGAGCTTGAGAGCTCTGGTTGGTTCTAAACACTCGGCTCTCTATAGCTCGCATCATGCCAGAGCTGGATTGTACTTTGTTTCCTTCGCTTGAAGTCCTTTTGAATGACTGCGGTTGTTGCTTTGATACTGGGAAATCTAAGGATGGACATTATTATTTCTTGTTGTGTCTTAAATTTGAAGAAATAACTGTCTCTGCTGCATGGAATTAGAACATTTAAAGCTTGAAATAGAAGATTACCCCCATGAACACCCAATGAAGAGGCAGAAAGATGAAATTGCCATCCTAGACTAGTTAATGTTAATATTAATTAAATATAGCAAAACCCTCACCCATTACCGGTACATTAAATTCATGGTGTTTACTTTTAATTAGGTTATAGGCTACTCATGCATTCGATTCAATTTCAAATATTAGGCCTACCTTTTAAAAACATTTTTTAAACCCATTAGTTTTTTATACAGTTTAAATTATTCTTTTGCAGTAAAAGTATTACAAGAATTAAAATGAACTCAACAAACACATGTGTGAATTACGATAGTGATAGAAATTTTTTTCAAAATAAACTTATCACACACTTTTTTAAAAATTTCTATATTTCGGCATTAGCACAGGACATTCTTCAGGAACAAACACAATAACAAATAGAAGTGTTAACCACTCTGAATCATATGGTTTTAGCAAAAATCCAAAATACATATAATTTATGAAGAAGTAAAAAAGAAAATGTTTTGATAGAAAGAAAATATATATATATATATATATATATATATATATATATATATATATATATATATATATATATATATATATATATACTATCTCAAATTTAGACCAGAAGGTGTTTTAGATTTAAGTATTAATTGATGAGCTCGCTTTTTAAGTCTGATGCGTCTTTTGCCAATTTTCTTATTCCTTTTAATGAATAACATTGTTCAAAATTTTGAGAATGTTCTCTCGCATGAATAGCCACAGGTTTTTGTTTATCAGGATGGTTTACGTCATATCTGTGGCCATTCATACGAACTCTTAGAGCATTTGTGGTTTTGCCAATGTAGTCTTTAGGACAATTTTTGCATGAAATTTGGTAAATTACATTAGTAGACTCGCAGGTGATGTTACTATTTATGTTATAACATCTTTTTGTTTGCCTGCTTGTGAAAGTTTTTGATGGGATGATTAATTTGCAAGTGGCACATCGTGGTTTGTTGCATTGATTACAGCCCGAAGGTTTTGCTGATGGTCGGGAAGTGGGAGGTAGTTTGGGTTTTGAAAGAATGTCTTTTAAGTTAGGAGCTTTTTTGTATATTAGTCTTGGGGGTTTGGAAAACAAATTATGGGTCAGAGGTGAATTTGAAAGAATATTATGTGCCACTCTTAAAACATTATTAACTTTGTAAAGGCCAGGAAAGTATTGGGTGATGAATTTTGGATCTTTTTTGAAATTATCTGTGCTAGGATTTTTTGAGCTTTTTATTTGACTGTCTATTAAATTTTTAGGATAACCTCTTCTGTTAAGTGAATTGCTGAGTTTTTCAATATAATTTTGGTAATCACGATTTTCAGAACAAAGGTTTTTTGCTCGTATTGATAGGCTTTTTGGTATGGATTTTTTAATGTGTGCAGGATGACAGCTTGAGTAAGCTAAGTAATCCATTGTATTCGTATCTTTTACATGGATTTTGGATTTTAACATACCATCTCTAACAAAAACGTCAACATCCAAAAAAGTAACAATATCTTCTGAGAAGTTCCAGGTAAATTTAAGGATTGAGAATTGATTTAGATTTTCAAGGAAAGTTTGCAGGTTTTCTAGTCCATGTTCCCAAACCATGAAAATGTCATCAATAAACCTATACCAAATTGAAGATTTCAACATTTGTGAATTTAAAACAAAATGAATTAAGTTTATAATAAAGTTTGCACTAGGTTTGGAGTTAACTGGACGTTTTTCTAGGTATTTCTTTACAGATTTTTCTCCTTCTTCATGTGGGATGTTAGTATATAGTGAAACCACATCAATTGTCACCAATATAGTATTGTCCGTTAGTGGGGTGTTTATGTTCTTAATTTTATTAAGGAAGTCTTTGGAGTCTCTTATATATGACGGTAAAGTTTTCACTAATGGTTGGAGGGTGTCATCAACGAATGCTGAAATCCTTTCAGTGGGTGATCCATATCCAGATACGATAGGTCTTCCAGGTGGTGGTCGAATGGGTTTGTGGACTTTAGGTAAAAGATAAAAAATTGGTGTTCTTGGATTTAGAGGGCTCAAAAGTTTTATAGTTTCTTGACTTAGGTCTTCATTTGGTCCATATTTTTGTAAAAATTTAGAAATGTCATCATTGAAAGTTAAGGTAGGGTCATTTGGGATTTTTTCGTAGAATTCAGCGTCATTCAGTTGTCTTTCTGCTTCTTTTATATAATCTTCACGATTCAAGATTACTGTACTGTTGCCTTTATCTGCTTTTAAAATTATTATGGAAGAATTTTCTTTCAATGAACGTATAGCTTTTCTTTCATTTTTTGTAAGATTATCCTTTGAATGCAGTGAGGATTCAAATTTAGGATCAGAAATGTTGGAGATTACTTTTTCTAAATTCACAAATGTTGAAACCTTCAATTTGGTATAGGTTTATTGATGACATTTTCATGGTTTGGGAACATGGACTAGAAAACCTGCAAACTTTCCTTGAAAATCTAAATCAATTCTCAATCCTTAAATTTACCTGGAACTTCTCAGAAGATATTGTTACTTTTTTGGATGTTGACGTTTTTGTTAGAGATGGTATGTTAAAATCCAAAATCCATGTAAAAGATACGAATACAATGGATTACTTAGCTTACTCAAGCTGTCATCCTGCACACATTAAAAAATCCATACCAAAAAGCCTATCAATACGAGCAAAAAACCTTTGTTCTGAAAATCGTGATTACCAAAATTATATTGAAAAACTCAGCAATTCACTTAACAGAAGAGGTTATCCTAAAAATTTAATAGACAGTCAAATAAAAAGCTCAAAAAATCCTAGCACAGATAATTTCAAAAAAGATCCAAAATTCATCACCCAATACTTTCCTGGCCTTTACAAAGTTAATAATGTTTTAAGAGTGGCACATAATATTCTTTCAAATTCACCTCTGACCCATAATTTGTTTTCCAAACCCCCAAGACTAATATACAAAAAAGCTCCTAACTTAAAAGACATTCTTTCAAAACCCAAACTACCTCCCACTTCCCGACCATCAGCAAAACCTTCGGGCTGTAATCAATGCAACAAACCACGATGTGCCACTTGCAAATTAATCATCCCATCAAAAACTTTCACAAGCAGGCAAACAAAAAGATGTTATAACATAAATAGTAACATCACCTGCGAGTCTACTAATGTAGTTTACCAAATTTCATGCAAAAATTGTCCTAAAGACTACATTGGCAAAACCACAAATGCTCTAAGAGTTCGTATGAATGGCCACAGATATGACGTAAACCATCCTGATAAACAAAAACCTGTGGCTATTCATGCGAGAGAACATTCTCAAAATTTTGAACAATGTTATTCATTAAAAGGAATAAGAAAATTGGCAAAAGACGCATCAGACTTAAAAAGCGAGCTCATCAATTAATACTTAAATCTAAAACACCTTCTGGTCTAAATTTGAGATGGTATATATATATATATATATTTTCTTTCTATCAAAACATTTTCTTTTTTACTTCTTCATAAATTATATGTATTTTGGATTTTTGCTAAAACCATATGATTCAGAGTGGTAAACACTTCTATTTGTTATTGTGTTTGTTCCTGAAGGCACAATTTGTTTTTCAGGATTAATTTTGCCAACAGTGTCATTTAGAGGCTTCTGATTGACTATAACGAAGGTTTAGTAATTGAAAAATTATTTTTGATCATAGAATAAAATTATAAATGCCTCAAATTCAATTTAATATTTTTTTATTATGAAATTAAACCGTCATGACCTAACCAAACCAACCAAACGTGCTGACAATGAAAAAATCGAATGAAGGTTTATTAATCGAAAAAATAGTTATGTTCATAAAATGAAATTATAAATGCCTCAAATCCTATTTTATAATTTTTTATTATAAAATTTAACTATCATAACGTAACCAAACTAACCAGACTTGCTAACAATGAAAAGTCAAATGAAGGTTTAACCGAAAAAAATATTTCTGTTCATAAAATAAAACTATACTTAAATGGGTCAAATTCAATTTCATAATGTTTTAATTTTAAAATTAAACCGTCATAACCTAACCAAACCAACCAAACTTGTTGATAATGAAAAAAAAATCCAATAAAAAAAATAGTACTACGGGTGGGATTTGAACCCGGGACCTTCGGATCATAAGCCCAACACTCTATCCACTGCACCACCGAGGCCGTTGTCATCATCCGTATCGTTGGGGTAAAGATGTTCCCTCAGCCAATCAGAAGCCTCAAAATAATACTGTAGGCAACACTAATCCTGAAATAAAAATTCAGCTTCCTGAAGAAGGCTAATGCCGAAATATAGAAATTTTTAAAAAAGTGTGTGATAAGTTTATTTTGAAAATGATTAAGCCGTTTGGCAATATTATGAAGAAACGATAGTGATAGAAACTTACTTAAAGATTGTGTTTTCCTTTCCTGTTTAACCTGAGGAAATTTTCTGTCTTCATTCATCACTTTCCCTATTTGCAAATTGGAAGAATGATTATTAGAGAAATAAAGAGGTATATTAGAGAGAGAAGGTAGAGTTTTTGTGACTTGTTTCTTGTTTTTCAAAAACATTTCTAGTTGACGGCCGGAGGGAACCTGGGCTTTACATCCTTCCTTGCTGCTATTGTAACACTTTCCTTCCGAAGGCTTAAGATACTTTTTCATCAGTTCTAAAGCATTGGCTTTGCTTTCCCATTTTTGACTATCTAAAAAAATCATAAACAATTTTCTGTAGCTTATATTGTTTTATAAAAATACTCTTATAACTACGCTTATTTATAGTAATATACCAGAGGAATTAACCAATATCCATCCTTTCCACCTTGCACACAAAACACCTAAAATTTTGCCTACTCTTTAACAAGTAAGCATATTTTTCTATTTAACTTATAGTGTAACTGTAGGATCCACAATTTGTTTTGTTGGCAATATAAATGTCTAGTTAAAATGACTCTAAATAATTATAAAATAATTAATGAAGGCACGCAGTTTAACTCAACACAAAATCTAATTCATGACTGTTATAAAACAAACACAATAGAAAAACGTATGATAGTAAAAATAGATATAAATGAAATATTGAACAGTCTTAGGCCTCGGGTACGATACGAGCCAGGTGGCTACGATACAAGCGGCACATTTATAACGCTCATCAAATTTCCCCAGTTTTATGAGTCAGTTTAGTCGAAAATGGTAAACTATGCTTACCTGCAAGACGTATTGCAACTATTGTTGCTATCTGACAATTGTTTGCCTTTAAAGAAAAACTTAGTTTTTAGAAAAACCTTAACCCTAACTTGGCCTCATACTTTTCTGGTGACTGAATTGTTTAAAAACTTCCGTGCTGGTCATTCCACAAACATTCCTTGGACTGCACCTCACGTATCAACCCGTAATGCTTGTTTGCTGCTGTTTCCCTGTCATTTCAGCATTTTCAACATCCATATCAGTAGGCATGACATAAGGCGACAAGCATTGGCAAGTATTTTTTATGCTCCAAGACTTTGGAACCATCTACCAAATCAATTTCAAAATTTCCCTCTTAATTTATTTAAAAGTTGAAGAAAGTTTTAATCAAGCTCTGTTTGTTCACAATAGATAAATTTTGGCTAGTGACTGAAGATGAATTTAATTTACTAATTATAGAATGTTAAAATATGTTATAAGGTGAAGAAGTTAAATTGTGTTAAATTATGTTTATGTTTAGGATTAATTGACGAGTTAGGAGATACCGTACTAATGTACCATATTATGTATTTTACTAACAATAAAGTTCTTGTGTCTTCTTGTATATTGTATCTTGTATTTTAGGCCGAACTGAAGCATGACTCACCTGAGCGGCGAGCGGTGTTTTCGCGAAAATCGGTTTTGAGTTGGAATCATGTGGCGCCGCTCATGCCACTCGCTGCTCGTATGGTACCTGGGGCCTTAAAGAAGTTATAACAGTCTTCCCCACTATTTTGAACTGGCAATGGAATTATGAAAGAACAAAGTCCTTGTATCGGCACGGCATTTGCCTTTGTCATCTTCATCTCTCTTGATTCACAGGAACTTTGTCAGCTGTTTCCTGAACTACTGGAACCTCTGAATTGTTTGCTTTGGGAGTTGGCGGTCTTTCGGAGATTGACGGTCATTCGGAAGTTGACGGTCTTATGGGAGTTGATGGTCTTTCAGGAATTGACAGTCTTTCAGGACTGTCAATTTTTGGTTTTGGTATCAAGGTAGACCGCAATTGATCAATGTGTCGTTTTACAAGTCGGCCTGACTTGTCAAGAGAAATTAGATAGTGTCGAGTTCCCAACTTTTTATTTACCTCTCCAAACTGCCAAACGCTCCTGTTGTTTATGAAGAGACGAACCTGAACTCTCTCCCCCTCATTGAATGAACGTGCAGAAGGATCATTTCTAGTTGAAGCTTTTTGTATGTTAGGAAAAATGGCATCCATTTGTATTCTTAACTTCCTGTGGAAGTAAAATTCAGCCGGTGATTTGCCACATGCTAGAAAAGTTGCCCGATACTGCTTTAAGATCTTTTGGACCTTTATTGCCATTGGTATGTTTTCCGAAGCTTTGGACTTCAGGCGGTTCTTCGGGTGTCCTGGAGATATGAATTTCTGGAAAATGTCATGTAATTTGCTATAAACTTGGAAAGTATCACTTTGAAAAATTGAGGCATGTCAGATGCCATAACATTAGGGTAGCCGTGTGTAGCAAAAATCCGTTCAAGTAGATGTATGGTATTGGAGCTGGATGGTGCATTTTTGATTACTTTTATCTCCGCCCATTTTGATCTGGCATCAATACACACGAGGAAGTTGAAGCCTTGAAACGGTCCTGCGTAGTCAATATGTATTCTTTCCCAGTTCTCTTTCGGGATTTCCCATGGGTGATTAGGAGCTTTGGGCGGATTTGACCGTGATAGTGCACAATTTTCACATCCTTTCACGGGATACTCAATATATTTGTCAATATTTGGGCAGTAAACATAGCGCCGTGCTAGCTGTTTCATTTTGTGATTCCAAGTTGACTTTCGTGAAGTTAATTTAGAACCTTGTTTCTAAGTAGTGATGGAATGTAAACTCTTTCTCCCTGGAAAATAATGTTTTCGACCAAAGTAAAATCAGAATCAAGTGAATTGGTGAGTAGGTCTTTCAAAATCTTAGAGAGCACTGGATCTTTGGCTGTCTCATTCTAACTTGATACTTTCAGCTGTGATTTCATGGCTTGAAATTTGAAAAATAGCTTGGCTGCAGATTTGATGTACCTCTTTTCCAATTTTCTTGTCTTTAGTAAAGTGTGTCTGTGTAAGAGTAGCTCTTGAAAGACAATCCACGTTTTTATTTTCCATGGCCTTTTTGAACACCAACTTGTAATTGAAACCTAACAGATATGATGCATATCTGAGTAAACAAGCTGAAGTCATTTGTGGTAGAGCCTTGTCATACCTGAAGATCCTAGATATTAGCTGATTATCTGTTACAAGTTTAAATTGAGTCCCAAATAAGTAATAATAGAAGTGGGAGACACCAAAAAACTATGGCCAATGCTTCCAGGTCTAGTTGACTATAGTTACATTTGGCATCAGTGAGCGAACGTGAGGCGTAAGCAATTGGTCACTCAGTTCCATCTATTAAGTGGCTAAGAACTTCAGCTAGTCCAGTAGATGAAGAGACCGTGGTGAGGACTAACGGTAGTTTTGGATCAAAAGGTAATAGTATCCTGTTACTGCAGAGCTCAGTTTTGATTCGTTGAAAAGCCTTTTCACATTCTGGTGTCCATTCCCATTTCTTATTTTTGCATAACAAACGTTGTAAAAAAAAGGTGACAGTTGAAGCATCTGGAAAGAAACGAGAGTAGTAAGAAATCATTCCTAAGAATCGTCGTAATTCTTCAACTTTTGATGGACGTGACATTTCTTTAATAGCTTGAACTTTTGTAGGAGATTTCTTTATTTTGTTTAACTCCACCACTTGCCCTAGATATTCTATTTGTTCTTGAAAAAATTAACACTTCTGTTTGTTTATGTATAAGTCAAAATCTGAGAGTCGTTGAAGACAGGCCTGTAGATTTATTTTGCATTCATCCATTGTTGAACCATGGCAAATTATGTCATCAAAGTAGGCCTCGGTTTTAGGCAATCCCTTCAAAATTTGTGTAAGAATTTGGTTGAATTCAGAAGGTGCTGTCTTTATTCCAAAGCTTAGACGATTGACACGATATGTTCCACGGTGTGTTGACATTGTCTGGATAATACTGGACTCTTCGTCGACCTTGAGGTGCAGGTAAGCTTTGTACAGATCAAGTTTACAAAAGTAAAAAGATCCTCTCAAACTATCGATTACATCATCAATTTTTTGAATAGGATGGTTTGCCTGGATTATTCGTTCATTCACACCACATTTGTAGTTGACACAGAGATAAACACTTCCATCTGCCTTAGGAATCATGACTAGTGGTGACCCCCAATCACTTGACGTAACAGGCGAAATGATTCCTTCATTTTAAAGTAAATCCAGTTCCTTGTTGACCTGATCAATAAGAGCATGAGGTACGTTCCGTTCACGATTGAAAATAGGCTTTGCTTCTGATCGAAGATTTATTGATACTGTAAAATTTGGAACGCATCCAATTTTCGGCTCGAAAATTGGTGCACATTTTTCAAACAGTTCCTCAACAGAATTTACTGGTTGTAATTGAAGGGTAGTAGCTGGTCGGTTCATTTCAGAGTCAATTTAACATAGCTCAATACCCAGTCCTCGGATCCATTGGCGCCCTAGAAGCGCGTCATGACCTGAAGGGACAATGTGATGGTCACCTTTGAACTGTTTACCCATGTATGAGACAGAAACTGATACCTTTCCCTCTGGCTTGATTATGTCTTAAGAGTATGAACGGAAAGCTGGCCTTGATGGTTCTACTGGTACGTTCAGATGTAGACGTTCAAAGTCATTCTTTGCAAGGAGAGAAAATTTAGCCCAATTGTCAACTTCAAAATATTGTGATCTTCCATTTATACCGACAGAAACAATGTACTTGTCTAAATCATATCCAACTTCAAATAAATCTACAACATCAAAGTTCTGGTAGATTGAATCAATTTTGTGCACTACGTAATCAGAAGAGTCGTCACTTGAATAATCGTCATAATTTGAGCCTGAATGTAGGTTGTGAAAGGTTCAATTTCACTTTTATGTTGATTTCTTAGTATTTGACATCAGTGCAGTTATACACATCGCAGAGACATGTCCTCGTTTTAAACACTCTCCACATTGAAGTTTATATTTGTGTTTGTTACAATTTGCAGCAATGTGTTTGCTACTTCCACATCTAAGACAGACGCCTTTTCCGAGGGCATTGAAGTCAGGTCTTTTGTTATCTGAATTGTTTCCAGTTGAGTGGTGGGATTGTCTGGGAGACCTTGTAATTTTAATTTTGTGCACTCCAACGGAATCCACATTAAAGTTGTTAGAACATGCATGTTGGTGAAATTCTTTCCTTTCAACCTTTGATGCTTCAAGATCAATAGCTTTCCGTAGAATGTCATCAAACTTTGTGTACACGGATTATAAAATGCCTTAGCCAATTGTCCTTCAATCCTTGTATAAACTGTGCCCGAAAGAAAACATCAGCAATTGACACAGATGTTTTACATTCATCGTTGGAGCATTCAACTGCAAATTCACATTCTTGAAGATCACGTCTGAGGT